AAATCAAAACCAACTTATTTTCATCTCTCTCTCTCTCTCTCTCTCTCTACATGTACCGGAAAACAGAAAAGAAAAACCCGAATCCCAAGGAAACGCGTTGATGATGGGTTTGCATGAAAAAACCAGCTCAAACCCTAAACTGATGAGAAGGATTCTTTCTTTAATTTTGGGGCCACTGCAACTACAGTCTGTCTTCATAAATGTGGACTGGATTCAGCATTAAACTCATTTACCTGCTCATGTGCTTCTTCCCAAAGGGTTCTCACAGTTAATGCAGATTATGTAATTTACTAATTTATGTATACTCATTTTGGTTCTTAAGGATGTAATTAATTCTTGGTTTAAATTAATTGTCAGGCTCAACAAGATCGATCTGAGAACGTCATACTTAGAACTGAGAATGAGTCACTCAAGAATGAGTTTTACCGGCTTGAAGCGGAACTCAGTAAACTCGTTTGTCCGAATTGTGGTGGACCACCTGTGCCTGGAGGTGTTTCCTTCGAAGAACTTCGTATGGAGAACGCAAGACTTGCAGAAGAGGTTATTCATCACGATATTAATTTTCTCTATGTATTATACATACATTATCAATTAATATAGTGCCGATGTTGATATGTTTTAACAGTTGGAACGGGTCTGCGCCATTGCTTCACGATATATGGGACGGCCAATCCAAACAATGGGTTCATTGATGCCACCTTCATTAGATTTGGACATGAACATATATCCAAGGCAATTCCCAGAGCCCATGGCTCCTATACTGTCTGAAGCAGACTCCTTTCCCGAGAATAACAATCTATATTTAATGGAGGAGGAGAAAACTATTGCAATGGAGCTTGCTATGTCCGCCGTGGATGAACTGGTGAAGATGTGCCGAGCAAATGAGCCTCTTTGGATTCGAAACAACAAAAATGGGAAGGAATTACTTAACCTCGAAGAGCATGCCAAGGTGTTCCATTGGCCATTAAATCTCAAGCAGCGCTCAAGTGAGTTCAGGACTGAAGCTAGCCGTGACAGTGCAGTCGTTATAATGAATAGCATCACTTTGGTAGAAGCATTTCTTGATGCCGTACGCTTCCTTTCCTTGAATTTTTATCTAACAATTTCATTCGATAGCGCTATTGTTAATGACAGAAATCTCGTTTTGAAATGATTTCATTACAATTGTAGAACAAATGGACCGAGCTCTTTCCCTCAATAGTTGCTAGAGCTAAAAGTATTCAAGTTATATCACCAGGTGTTTCAGGGACTAATGGATGCCTCCTGCTGGTATACACTCGCATTTCATGCAATGTCTACATCATATTCATTAAACTTAGTCGTCCATCTGATAAGTTGCTTTTGTCTATTTGAGCAGATGTATGCAGAATTGCATGTTCTATCTCCATTGGTGCCCACACGAGAGGCATATTTCCTTCGTTATTGCCAACAACAAAATCTGGAGGACGAAACGTATTGGGCAATTGTTGATTTCCCACTGGATGGCTTTCATAATAACTTACAATCTTCATTTCCCTTATACAAGAGAAGGCCCTCTGGCTGTTTGATTCATGACATGCCTAACGGCTACTCTCAATGGTTACTTGGGTTGAACATGCAGAGATAGAGGAGAAACCAATCCATCACATATTTACTCACTTTGTTCACTCTGGAATGGCATTTGGAGCAAATCGTTGGTTAGCTGTTTTAGAGAGACATTGCGAAAGGATTGCTAGCCTCATGGCCAGAAACATCACTGACATTGGAGGTTCAAAAAATTCCACTTTTTTTTTTATGATTTGGTTTCCATTACAATCAGATTTTACGGCCATATATTCTTTCACTTTCAGTGATACCTTCTCCAGAAGCAAGGAAGAATCTAATGAGACTAGCTCAAAGGATGATAAGAACATTCTGTGTCAACATCAGCAGCTCCAACGGTCAGTTATGGACGGCTATTCCAGATTCCTCCGACGATACTGTTAGAATCACTACAAGGAAAGGTCAGTGAACCAGGCCAGCCCAATGGACTCATTCTTTGTGCTGTTTCGACTACTTGGCTGCCATATCCTCACCACCATGTCTTTGACCTTTTGAGGGATGAACGCCGCAGAGCTCAGGTTCCATTTAGTTTCCTCTCTCTCTCTCTCTCTCTCTCTCTATATATATATATATGCACACAAACACACACATATTGCATATGCATCTTTTAGCTTCCTCTCAAAATGCTGTATTTTAATGTAACATTATGCAGCTGGAGGTTCTTTCAAATGGGAATGATTTACATGAGGTGGCTCACATTGCTAATGGCGCCCACCCTGGGAACTGCATCTCACTTCTTAGAATCAATGTAATAATTTCCTTCTCGGATTGTTAAATGTTACATTTCCACATATTTCCCCTCTTTTATATAAAATTAACCCTATAGTTTCTAAATACGTTAAACGCAGGTTGCGGGCAACTCCTCCCAGAACGTAGAGCTGATGCTGCAAGAGAGCTGCACAGACCGATCCGGTAGCCTCGTTGTTTACTCAACTGTGGATGTTAATTCCGTTCAGCTTGCGATGAGCGGGGAGGACCCATCTTGCATCCCATTGCTTCCCTTAGGCTTTTTCATAACCCCAATGGAACTCATCAAAGATGCCCACAATACTGAAGAGGCAAATGGGCATATGTGTGCAGGCAGTTTACTCACCGTTGGACTTGAAGTTCTTGCCAGCACAATTCCATCAGCAAAGATCAATCTCTCGAGCATTGCAGCCATCAACAACCATTTACGCACAACCGTTCACCAAATCAGTGCTGCTCTGAGTAGTAGCAGTGGCACCCTTAGCTGCCCCGATAAAGGGAATGGTCCAGGCTCAGGTTCTTGCAGTGAGGCTGCTAATGCACCAGAAAAATAGGGTCTTGGTTCTTCGTGAATTACCCGTAACATCCCCATTTTTTAATGGAGTTGAAGATGGGATGACAAATGGGGGAAGTTATTGGTAATTTGTTGAAAATCAAGTAGTGAAATTGTCTAGGTAGTAGCAGGTTCAGTAAATTAATGTGGTAAATAAAGATGTAATATTTGTTGTGGGTAAAGACTGTAGCGGCAAAAGGTAGAGGAAGTCAAGAGCGCACCTGTTGTGACCCTTGCTTTCTGGTTGGGTTCTCACCAATTACAGGGGTGGTAGTACTGGTTCGGGTATTGACTTCTGCGTTATTGCCCTTCTTGTTTAATTTGAATGCCTGCTTTTAGACTTCTAATTAATTCAATTATGTTTGCCTCTACTTAATTATATACCTGCTTCTCGATCCATTCCTGTCTTCAAACATCTTAAGTCAGTTGATGGGGGTGAAGTTAGAATATTCATAAATCACATTTCATGTATGGACAGCGTTGAGTTGTATCTATGCAATTCTGTAACATCTGAATACTCAACTATCCCTTCAAATTTTCAATTAATTAATTTTTCATATTAAATTCAAGTCTTATTTTTCGGTCCAAATTAATTAAATGTCTGCCAGAGGCCCAGAACCCATTCAACACGTAACTCTTAAGAGAACGATTGCCTCATCCATCCCGAATCTATCCCTGAGTCGACGTCCACTAATAAACTACAAAATTGTGCCAACCCAACACATGTTTGCATCTGCTCCTTAACTATAAAAGAAGTTTTTAATATTTTTTTAAATTATGTTGATTTTTCGAGAAAAAAATATACTACTTATTAAAGTAACGTTAATTATTAATTTATTTTATTTTGATACTTGTATTATTTATTTTTTTCATTTTACATAAAAGACAGAAAAATTAAAGAACTAAAAATACTTTTAACATATTTTTTCACTTCCAAATTGTTTCAAAACTACTTAAGAATTCACCAAAATTAACGTCATATGATTCCAATTAAACCCTCAATTCTTCCTCCCAATTCCCATTAATTCAACAATATGTCGCATACATTTCTTTCAAATAAAAATAATGATACAAACTTTGATACATCTTATAATTGGTAACTAAATTCAAATAAATAATTATCTTTTACACATAATTGTTTCAAATTAAATAAAAATGTTTAAATATGGTTTTATAGAGACCGTTCACAGATAACGTGATGTCATTTGAAAAATAAATAATTATCTTTTTTATTTTTAGAACATTTTATATTTGTTTATAATTCTAATAATTAATAATAACATGTGTAATTGTCTCGAGTATACTCAGGGATAAATTTAGACGGAGAGCCGTTTCTTAAAAAATTTAAATTTTTATATATTTTAGATATTTTTTATATTTTATATTAAAAATGAGTAAGGATGTAAAGGTTGACCAGATGAGCAAGAAATACGTGCACCAATCACGGAATTTCCGCCGCTTTGCACGTATTTTTTCATCCGAATTTTCTAAAATCAAATGAGGAGATATGAAGACAAGACATTGGGAAGGTTCTAATTATTCATTTGTGGTAAATACAAGGGTAAATTACACCCATGACCACTTAACTATTGCCCGATTTTATTTTGATCATGTTGATCTTTAATTTTGTCAATCATATCCCTTAACTATTTAAGTATTGACAATCAAGCCATCAAATGTTAGAATTTAATGGAGGAGCTGAAGTGGTTATTGAAATAATGGCATAATTATAAATTTAATCCTCAATATTTACACATGCTATCAATTTTTTTAATAATTTTAATTCAATTTAATAAATTTAATCTCCAATTAGATGGTGATACATGTAAATATTAAAGATTAAATGTGTAATTATACTATTTTTAATAGCCACGTCAGCTCCTCCATTAAATGTCAATGGCTAGTGGCTTGAAGGATAATACTTAATAATTAAGTGATTTGATTGACAAAATTAAAAAGATTAATGGTCAAAATGAAATCAGACAATAATTAAGTGATAATGGGTATAGGTTACCCTAAATATAATAATAAACTTTGTCTACACAACGTGGACCTGTTCATAATCTTTTAAATATGTATGAATAAGAATCCTTGTATTTTCAAGAGAGTTTTGCTCAATCATTTTGTGCTGCTTTAGTCTTGACTTTCTTGTGTTTGGTTATACAATAGAAGCGATTGTTTTAAGATTTGAGGTTTCTGGTATATGAAAATGAGCGGCAAGGAACCAGTCAAGCTAGACGATGAGCAAATCACCGAACTACGAGAAATCTTTCGATCTTTCGATCGAAACAACGATGGCAGCCTAACGCAGCTGGAACTCTGTTCGCTTTTGCGGTCCTTAGGCCTAAAACCCAGCTCCGACCAAGTCGAAGCCTTAATACAAAAGGCCGACACCAACAACAACGGGTTGGTTGAGTTCTCGGAGTTTGTATCTCTGGTGGCGCCGGAGCTGATGTCGGAGAAGTCGCCCTACAGTGAGCAGCAGCTGAGGCAGTTGTTCAAGATGTTCGATAGGGATGGGAACGGATATATCAGTGCTGCCGAGTTGGCGCATTCGATGGCGAAGCTTGGGCACGCGCTGACGGCAGAGGAGTTGACGGGGATGATCAAGGAGGCGGATACCGATAGAGACGGGATGATTAGTTTTGAGGAGTTCTCACAGGCCGTCTCTAACGCTGCGTTTGATAATTCATGGGGTTGATTGAATTTTAAGCCGTAAAGGACTAGTTTGCTATGTTGGACTTGTTTATGTTCCGGTTACCCGCGTAGTTAATAAGGGACATTTTTCAATATTTTTGTTTTAATCGCATTTGTTATTTCAGGTGAATAAGTTCTTGGTTTTGGAATCGCTTAATGATTTTTTTTATATGATGATAATAAGGTCTTGTATAGGGATGTCACATATCGAGATATATTATTAAGTTAATAAGATAAGTTTTAAAATGGATAATAAATTATGTTAAAATATTTTTTTTGATATTATATTTTTAAAAATTATATAATAAGCGTTAAAGTTTAATTTTATTTATAAAATAAATATTGTATCTTTAATTGCCATATAAGAGGTAAAGTGACATTAAATTAATAAAAAAATGCCATTTGACCCTTTAATTGTAATTAATTTTTTTGAGATTTTTCAATATTTTAAGTAACAATTAAAAAATTATTTTTTTTTAAGAATACATAGAATTCATAATTCATTTAAAAATTATAAAAGTATTTTTTAAAATTATAACTTTATGAACTTGTTAATTCATCAAGTTATTTTATAAACAAATTTTATTTAGTTATGATTAAATTTTATAATTTTATAATTTTCCAAATCCACCAATTTCAATTATCACAAAGTGAAGTTATTATTATTATTTTTTGTTAAGCAATGTGATTCAACTATTTAATTTTTGTTTAATAAGTTTATATATAGTTTTAAAATTTTATTTAGAATTTCAAAAATAAATTGTGAAATTAAATATATTTTTAAAAACGATTTTTAAAAAAAAAATTATTACTTAAAATATTAATTTGATAAAACTTTACTTAAATATTAATTTAATAACATTTAACAAATTTCGAACCTAATTTAATTACTAACTGCATACTTCCCTTTCTCTTTAACGGGATAACTTATTTAATCTGGTTATATTTAATAAATTTAAATATAAATTTTAAACAATGGGTCATTATAAAATAATATATGTTCAAAAAATCATCAATTATTCTGACTATAAACGCTCAAACACTGATACAGACGTCGTACTTAAGCTTAAAACCTTTAAGATTAATAACTATCCTTTTAACCATTGGGTAACTCGATTCGTGCTCATTTACTAAGTTGTATACAAAGAGTTTTGGATTTAATTTCCTTGTTTTCCGACAAGGGTTACAAATTCTAGGTCTTAATTCAATGACTAAACACACAACTCTTGTATAGTTAACTATTATCCGACCAAACAAACTTTGGTCTTACTTCAAATAGACAATACTTCAACAGTTGAGTGATGCATGAACACCCCAATACTCCAGAAAGAACTTGATTATAGCTGCGGCTTTATCTTGATTGATTGTTCAAGCTGGCTGAATTTAGAATTCGATATGAGAACAAAATGCCTGCATTTTTTAGATGTCTACCGAATGCTTATATCACTCACTCGCAAGAAAACTATAATAGACCTCATAATTCTACTAAAATGCTCTGATAAAAAAAAATAACACGAGCATGGACATATTTTATTTAAGACGATAACAATGCAAGAACAGTGCACTAAACAATCAAGCAGTCCATTCTCTAACCAACGGAATGCCAGAAAAAAAAAAGCAGTTGTTGGCAAGGAAAAGACTTATTATCCCATATTAACCACTTCAGAAATCATGCAGAATCCAAAGCAACGAGTCTCTTCATAATAAGAGTCTTGCAGCACCCAGTTTAGTGCTTCTCATGAAAGCTTGATAGTTTTCAAAGTCCAAAAATGCTAACAGATATAGGTTTTCATCTGCACTACCGCAACATCCACTGCATTATATCCTTCCTAATAACTCCATCGCCTCTCACATAGTTCAGCCTCGATATGTAAGGTCCATTAGTGCTTAAATGCCTGCATTGAGTCATGTTTCCAGCAGCACTTGGTCGCCGCATCATCATTGCAATTGTAGGGAAGGAATTGGCCCACATATTTGTTGATGATCTATAAAGGTGTCTATCAGCTACATTGTTTCGAGGTGACTTGATGATTCGTGAAATTTTTAACGATGTTGAGTTCCTCACGTGCTTTGGAATGTTCATGAATGCTCTGCCAGCATCATGGTGGGGTTTCTTGTGAGTTGGAGCACGGATCTGCAATGACGGTTTCATTTTATTGAGCCAGCGGAGGATCCAGTTACCAAGATTCCGACCAACTTCCATGTCTCTGTGCTGTATGCTCCTGTTAACCGTGAGTGCTACATCAAATATGGCACGTGTTCGTCTGCTGGAAGAAAAAGATAACAGATTACGAAAGACAACAAAAGTCAAAGAATGTCTTTTAATGTCCTAATTCTTCAATGTTAGTAGTTGCAAAACATTTGACATTCAGGATTGTGCTCCCACTTGGAAATGAAGCTCACAAAGAATTGGTAAGTCAACTACTACCTGTCACAGAGTAAGAAAGGTTCTACCTTAGTGGCTTCATTTAGCAAGGCAAGGTTGATACCCACGTATAAAACAGGCTGAAATTGGAAAAATTAAAAATTGGAGGAACAACAGGATCGCAAAATTAAAGCTCCTGTAACTCTGATGGAAATCTAGGAATGAATCAAACATTACGAGAATGACAACATGTTTCACTAATATCTGTAGCTCATAGAAATGATGGACTAGTGGGATGTTTAAATAGTGTAGTAAGGAAACTCAAGGAGGTGTATATTCTCATCCTGCACCTCATTAGCTAAATAATCAATTCACTAATTGATTGCCGAGAGAAAATATACAACTTGCTCCATGTCTAGATATCAATCAGAAGTTTCAAGTAAACATGGACTATTTCTATACATTTTCAATGAACATCCAAGCATCTAATTGGAAAGGCAAAAGAAAAGAGAGGTTGATTGATGTACAAATATGATAAAACTTCTAAGTCACATTCTTTCAACTTAAAAGAGAAAAAAAATTGACCCTTTTTGACATATGTAACTGACTATTTAGTCATAACTGTCAGAAAAATATTGATTGTTATGGTATTCTGCCTTCGTAGTAGATTGATATGTTCGGTTAACACTCATAGGCATGTATGTAGGGAAAGTTTTGTTAAATAGAACAAAAAATACACAGTATTCACATGATTATCTCAAACTGAAATCATTTCTCAAAAACTAATGTGCTGGTTAGAAGAATATGACTCGCTAGCAATTCACGTCAGTAGACGTTGGGACTAACTCTGCCTGATTATGTGACTCTTCATCACGAATGCATTTACAATTTACCTCGTAAGAAATGATGAAACTAAACCCATACTATACCAAAAAATGGAATCAAGTACAGAAAATAATGGGAGAAATGCAAACCATCCCCCAAGTCCTGTGACAGCTTCAAGTTGTCCATTTGTCCAAACTAGAGTTTGTGACGAATGCAATTCTATCAATGATTATTATTTTTTAGATTAGTCTGAGTGATTACAATGCAGCATCTATTCGAAAAGACTCTCCAACATTTGTCACAGTTTGCAGACTTCAATTCTCCGAATTTCTTTAGGAAGAAATGCAAGTAATTTTAAAACATCAAAAGAACATGGAAACAGACACCCAGCGGAGCAAATATTGAGAAAATGCAGTTAATAACTAAGGATGAAGTTTTTGATGAATATATATTCAAGCGCCCACTGAGAAATACCTATTCAATTAAATTTCATAACATTCATTTCAGTAACTCCAGCGCCCACTGATAAATAGTACTTCAGGGTGCAATAACAAGTCTTAATACAACGCTAAAGCAATCAAAGCCTGAAAGATATTATGCAATAGATAAAGGAACAGTAAAAGAAGAGAGAAATCTCTTTACCTTTGAGCAAATTGTTGGAATCTAGGATGGTTGCGGCTAATAATCCGTCGCTGAATCTTCAAAGCAAGCCTGTAAGTTCGTTTAAGCCCCAAGAAATAAGCCGTTCCCAGTGCGATCTCCCACAGCACCATTTTTTCCCTCTTTAGTCTCTCTTTCTAGCAAGCTTCATTCCTTTTTTTTACCTCTCTTTATAAATCTTTGACCATGGATTTTCTTTTGCAGCAAGTTAAAAACTGAGGGCATTGGGAGGCGTCAGAATTTTCCAAACTCTCACTGATGACTCGATCTTATTATTATTTCTTAATTAATTGTTTGAGATCAGTGCTAACATCACGATCGCTGCCGTTGAGATATTTCTAGAATATTTATGGCCCAATTTTAGGTGAGCCTGTACCATTTTTGGGCCCAATATTAGGTGTTTAGCTTTTTTTTTAATAATATGAGATGTTTACGAAATATTTTTTATTCATAATTTTATTAATCGATTGATAACCCACATAAATCTTGGATGTGTCTTTTGAGCCCGAGATTTTTAAGAAGAATAACATTTTCTTTTACCATTTAATTCACTTAATGAGTTCTCTTAAGTGTTTAGTTAAGTCATGCGATAAATGTACAAATTGTATCGATATAAATTTAAAAAATATAAAACATTAAATTATTTTTAATAATAATATTATATATAAAAAAATTATTGAATAAAATTATAATAATATTATATTATATTATTTGATTTGATTTATTTAGTTAAAAATATAAAGTTATATAGAAATACATTTTGTTAAATTGTGATTGTTATATGATTTGTTTTCAAATATAAACTTCATTCATTATTTTTTAGTCTAAAAATTCTCAAAATTTATGATAAAAATATTATAATTTATATATATGATGTTGAAAAAATTATAAATTATAATTATAATAATTTGATAAAAATGTATTACCAATAATATTATAGAAGTTTTATGTTAGTAGAAGAATGTGAGAATTCTCATTGATAATGAAAGGTATTCAAGACTTGTAACATGTGAACAACAAGAACTTTAAAGATGTGCAAGAAACAAAGGCGGTAAAAGTGCAGTATAAAGAAACTTGATGCAGAAATTATCTATACAAAACCGATCCTCATTCAATTCAATCTTATTTCTATGGTTGATTCATATTAGTTTATATGGTGGACTAAAAATGAATAACAAATTAACTAATTCTTGATAATTGTTTAACCGCAAGTATATTGTTAACATTCTCCCTGCTCTTCCCTTCTTGAAACATAAGAGCACAAGATACAAAGGTTAACAGAGGAACAAGTTTTAGTGTGTGTTCGGTTACCGAGTTTACCGTATAAGTGCTACTCCAAATCCTTATTTCGTAGGATTACTGCTTCGGTTGGACGGGTTGTGCGAGTTGATTATAATACTCAGGCGGGTGGTAGGGGGAAGTTTGGTCGACTGGCTATAATTGTCGACCTTAACAAACCTCTTAAGTCTTGTATTGGGAACGATGGCTTTATCCAGAAGCTGGAATATGAAGGTTTAACCAATATTTGTTTTTCCTGTGGTACATATGGTCACTCCTAAGATAACTGCAGTAAAAGGGAGGTCAATTTGGTTACTGCTCAACAGCCAGAAGCTGTGATATTCCAGAAGTTCGGAGCTCTCCAACCTTTGAGTCTCGGGGTGTGGAATTATTTGGTCAATGGATGGTTGTTGAGCAGCCAAAACACAAGGCGAAGGGTAAGGTTAAGGAAGGTTCCGCTGCTGCTAGTACCTCTCGTGGGGGTGAAGCTTCTAGATTTGCGGTTCTACAAGATCATGGTAAGGAGAATGAACAAGTGCATAGTTTAGACAAAGATACTGGTAAGGATCCCAATGTGGAAATAGGGCAGTCATCTAAAGGCAAAGAAACTGTGGGTCCTCCTAAGCCTCTCTAACAGCAGCGTGCTTTCAAGCCTAATGCAGCTTATTTAGCCTCGAACCCAGAGAAGAAGAAGAAACAAGGTCCTAAACAAATGGAGATCCATTTCTATCTTTGATGGCATATCAAAATATTACGACTTCATTTCATGCTATGGATCATGTACCTGGTGATCACTCAGCGTTAGTTATTAAGGAGCAAGGTTGTATGACCAAGGGTGGTAATGGGATCCGGATTTCCAAGAAACAAGGCATGGTTGCTATGAGTTCGAGCGATAAGAATCGTTGTGGGCGTGGTTCGGGTGACGAAAATTCGAATCTGAATATTCAGACCCATGCATGGACGCAATCCCTGTCGCATCAAATAGATGTCATTGTCGCAGGGAATGGAAAAGATGCGATTAATGGTCGTTTGGTGGAAGCCGGTCTAATAAGCGATGATGAGTCTATGGAAGATTTGGATGCCACGGACGTTCAGGATGTTAGGTTCTAGCTTGAACCTTATGGTTTCTCCTCTATATTTAATTTATTTAATAATGACTAGTTGTATGTTTTGGAATTGTTAGGGTGCGGCGAGCCCTACTTTCTGTCGTTATTTACAGGGTTTTGTTCGGGAGTTTAAACCGAAGCTCATAGCGCTTTTTGAGCCTCGTATAAGTGGTACGAAAGCGGACAAAGTTATAAAGAGGTTATAAGGCTATTACCAAGTTGATTGTGAATAGTTTGAAGCCACTTCTTCCGTTATGGGTATATGAGAATCAAACTAGTTTCGTGTCGGGCCGTTCAATTGTGGATAACATTGTTATCACTCAAGATGTTATTCACTCCATGAATAAAAAGAAAGGGCTAAATGGTTGGATGTCGATTAAAATAGATCTTGAAAAGGATTATGATCGTTTCGAGTGGACTTTTATTGAGGACAATCTAGTTGACCTGGGTATTCTTGACTCTTTAATCCATATTATCATGCGTTGTGTTTCTTCGGTTTGTACTCGTATCTTGTGGAATGGGAGCATGACTGAAGAATTACACCTTCTCGTGGTATTCGTCCAGGGGATCCGTTTTCGCCTTATTTGTTTGTGCTTTGCATGGAAAGGCTAGCCCAAGCCATCACTCAAAGGGTGACCGATGGTAGTTGGTGTCTGTTCTGCACTTCGTCTTCTGGGCCTACTATTTCCCATTTAATGTTTGCCGATGATATGATTCTCAAGGAGAAGCTATTCTTTTGGTGCTTTTGGATTTTTGTAGGGGTTCCTTTATTGCATGGGCATGTCTCAGCTGCTTCGTATCAGTATTTGGTTCAGATGGATTGAAACATGTTGAGCGGATGGAAAATGCGGTCTCTTTCTTTTGCAAGGAGAGTGACTACTGCAAAATCTGTTTTAGCCGCTCTTCCTATTTACACGGTGGAATCGGCCTCTCTTCCGAGGCGGGTGTGTGGAAATAGAGAGCCTTATAAAACATTTTATTTGGGGAATCCAAGAGGGCAGTAGAGGCCTTCATCTTGTCAAATGGAGCGATATTTGTGCATCGACTAAGCTTGGTGGTCTTAGATTTCATCATTTAGTAAAACATACTGACGCTTTTTTAATGAAATTTGCGTTTAATATTTTGACCGAGCAGGATCATCTTTGGGTGAGGTTTCTTCGAGCTAAATATCACTGTAGGGATGGAATTACAGACTCTCTTCATGGTTCTAATTGTTCTAAACTATGGAGAGGTTTGGCTTGTATTTGGCAGGATGTTCATCAGAATATCAATTGGTGTGTTGGCAATGGTCGCTCGATTGACTTCTGGTTTGACGCTTGGTTGAATTAGTGTGGTCCTCTTATTAACCATGTCACTGCCGCTGGGGCGTTAGGGATGAGTCGGGTCACGGTTGCTGATATGTCCGATGCTCTTGGAAACTGGCGTTGGTCTCTTTTTGACCAATTCCTCCCATTGCACATTTTGTTGAAGATAGCGGCAAAAAAAGGTCCTAAAGCTTAATTTAAGGATGATGCGGTGGAGTGGCAACTTAGAGAAGATCGTCGGTTCACTGTTAAATCTGCCTATGATTTCTTGGCTGGTCGGACGAATAATGCTGGGGCTTGTTTTTTTTTTATCATTTCATGGGTCCTCTAAAGATCAAGTTGTTTTTGTGGCTTGTTTGCCCTGACCGGGTTTTGACTAATGCTGAGCGCACCCGGAAACATCATACAAACGACAGCAGGTGCCCTATGTGTTTCGCATCCGTGGAAGACTTGAATAACTTATTAAGGCTTTGTCCTTCTGCTCTTTCAATCTGGGTGTCTTGTATTTTTCGAGAACGTATTCAGGATTTCATGGCGATGGATTTGCAGGGGTGGGTAGCAATGAATTTAAAGAATGCTAAGGATTATGCTATTCGGGATAATAAGTTAATAACTGGGATATTTTATTTGGAGCGATTCTATGGAATATTTGGCTCTATCGAAATTCTGTAGCTTTCGACTCCCCGTTGGATGATAGTGGTTCAATGTTGGAACGGAGTAAACAGTTGCAAGCTTCTTTTTGTCGTGCATGGCTGCTGCGTTCGAACCAGTTGAGCTTTAGATCTCTTGAGGTAGTTGGATCGAAGCGTTGGCAGTCTCAACCGTTTGGATGGATTAAGATTAACTCGGATGGGGCTGGGAAAGTGGATTCGGGTCAAGCAACGTGCGGGGGTGTGGTCAGGACCAACGGTGGTGTTTGGCGGATGGGTTTCGCTAAATACATTGGTATTTGTTCGATTTTGGAGGCTGAACTTTGGGGAGTTTACTTGGGTCTGTCGCTTGCTCGGGAGATGAATCTTAGTTTTGGTTGAGTCGATAGTATGGAAGCTCTCAAGGCAATCCGAATGGCTGGAGAGGGTATTGTTTTTTTGACGATTATTGAACATATTACTGATTTGTTGCGGCTGGAATGGATTGTGGAGCTGCAACATGTATCTCGCGATGATAACAAAGTAGCGGATCGCTTGGCGAAGATAGCCACTGCAGATGTTTCGGATTTAATCACATTTGAAACTCCCCTTTCGAGGTGTTGCCGCTGTTACAGGCTGACGCTGTCAGCACGGTCTAAGTTATTATGCTTTCATGTTTCACCAAAACAAAATATATGGAAACTTTTTTTTAGGAAATAATTAAAGAAACTTCAAACATGCTAAAAATGTAAAAAAAAATCAAATATATTTAAAATAATAAACAATATAAATTTAGCTATAATTATATATTTTATTTTAAAATTTAAATTATGTTTTTCAAATTGTAGTAACTAAATTAAATCAAATCAAACTCAATCAAAACAATAAATATTTCCTATACAAATATGGTAGCATATCATTCCAATCCTTCCGAATAAAAATGAATCCATAATATTAATTGGTATCTTTATTTTTATATTAATTAATTTTAAAATTACACTTTCCGTTTTGTTAAAAAGACCCGGCGAATAATTAATGCTTAGTTAAGCTAAGCTGCTCTGCTAAACGGCGGCTTAAGGAAAACCTAAAACAGAACCAACTCTCCGATAGTTCTTTAAGAAAATACTGAAATAAGCAAAGGCCAAAGCGCATCTAATTCTAAGCCTTGTTTCTCACTTTCCTCTAACTACAAACATGCAAAGACAATCCTTAGGCTCGCCTACCTCCAAGCGCGACATCCATGGACGAGAAGAGATTAACGGTGCCGATGATCATAAACTCCGAGTAATCATCGACGGCGAGGACCGCAAAGACAGTAAGCCTCGCCGATTGTCGTTTTCGCCTTCATCGCCGTCGTTTCCGTTGACTCCTAAGTCTGAGAAGCTAATTCATCTCATTCCTGTTCTCACTCTCCTTTGCTTCCTCATACTTTACCTTAATTCTCACAGTCCTTCACAATCCGGTACATTTTTCGTTTTCTTCAACAACCAGCATCATTAACAAGCTAGGTTATTCAAGTGTAATCTTCATGGTTTATTCTTATCTTTTTGTTTCAGATTTGGCAGCTTTTAACGGATTCAAGTATTCCTCAAAGCATCTAGGTATAATGTAGCTTCAGCTAACCTTTTATCTCTTTAGTTCTTGTATTTTCGGTTTAGCGACTTCTTCTTTTGCTGCCTATTTCGTTTTATGCTTTCGTTATTCACAGATTCACGTGAAATCGGCGATTTAGGCCGATTTATGGAGACTCAGAGAGACAATGTTTTGGCTGTTCGAAGCCAAAGGAATTTGCAGGAACTTGATAAGTACGTTTCGAAGTATCGTCCGCATCGGAAAATCGCCGATTTCTAGGCGACCTCCTTGAGTTTTGCATCGATCGGTTTATCTCTCTCTCTCTTACGATTCCGGTGTTGGCTCATGCTCTAGCTGACTATAAGCCAACACGTGCCGGTCATACTTGCACGTGGGAGGCATTTTTTTGGTTGAAGATGTAAATTTAAATTGCATGTTAATTTGTTGGCTTGTGAAGCAAATATCTTAGCTGGCGCTACGTGTGTAGCTCTTGATCAGTTGTTTTACCATCTTTGTTCACATAAATTTATGTTTTCTGTATATAAGTTATAGAAGAAAATAAAAATCGAAGAAACTTTAGAATTATTGTTTTTAAAATTTCAAATTGGCTAATGTACGCCTCGGGAGGTGTAAGTTAGTGAGGGACTAAGGGTGGAATCCAGCTGGAAACTCGGACCGTTATTGCTCCTCGTGATGCGGTTGGGGATGCCAGCTAGAAAGCTGTACTGATTCCTCCAGCGGTGAATATCTTTGCTCTTCTTGTTTTTTCTATTACGCGTGTAATTAAAGTATGTTTAGTTATTTTCTTATAAAAAATTGGTAATTAGTGGGTTTTTGGTGAATTTTAAGTTTTTGTTGGTGGAGAAAGCAATGCTGTTTGGATAAAACACGTGTCAAAAGTTTAACATTATATTAAGTCAACAACAAGCCACAAAAGTTGTCGGTGGTTACCAGAGTCCTATTGGCTCAATTACCTTGTATTCCTTTTCTTTTCTCTTTCGACGTTACTGTTTGGTAAAAATCATAATAATTAAGGTGAATGTGCTGGGTGGTAATTAATTTAAGATGAATTTTAATTAAAATATTTTTGTTTTAAATTTTAAAAATTGTATAAATTTATAATATTTTCAGTTGTAACAGAAAATATTATATTATAAGGTTTTAGATTTTATAATAAAAAACCATTCAGTTTATAATAATTTTAGTTATAATTAAAAATGTTATAAGAAAATAATAATTTTGATTCAACTAAAATTATTACTATGTGTAACTTAAAAAATTACACTCTTAATAACATTTTACATAAACAAGTCGTGTTTTAGATTATCCTACAGAAAATATCATTATCAAATAGAATAATTTTTTTTGAAATTATATTTTTATGTTTGGTTTACGAAAAATATCATTATCAAATAATAATTTATTACCAATAATACTATTTTTTTGTTTAAATGGAGGGAATGCCATTAACTCTAAATTCTTAGGTACTACTCAATTATCGTCACTTTGGACGAAAATAACTTTGGAATAATGAATTCTTTTTATATGGATCATTCTTAATTTTTTTTCTTCATGTTTCACTCAAAATTATAAACATAATAATAACAATAATAATAATATAAAAAATTTTGATTTAATAAAATATTAATAAATTTGAATAGTTAAAATTATTTTATATTTATAATATTTATAATATTAATTATTTATAATTTTATGAGGTGAAAATGATATATTGTAATATGTAATTACTTAAAATAATATATAATTTTAAATTATTAAAAAATATATGATAATGAAAATTATTTAAAACACAACAGCAGAAATATTAGTTGGTCATTTGTCACTTTCACGGCCTTCCTTTTTCTTAGATTAAATATTAAACAATAAATCCTTTGAAGATAAGGTTGTGGGTAGGGTGGGTTGCTCACCATTGTACCTCAATGACGATGTGTTTCCTTTCCTTTTTCTAATTTGTGTAGAATTAATCTCTAGCCGCCGCAATGATTGGAGCTTTTTACTCATAATATATGGATAAGTTAAATACCACTTATTTTTATGTTTGAGATCAAAAATGTTTTAATTTTATCAATTTTAGCACGAATATTTATATTTCACTGTAATTTTGTCACTACGCCGTTAATACGTTAACGGGACAATGACATGATAATTTTATTCCGTAACGGCGATAATATGACTCCATAAAAACGATATCGTTTTGACACTACCGTTTTAATGTTCAAAAATCTCAAAACGACGTCGTTTTATTAATTAAAAAATATTTTTTATGAAATTTGAACCATAGACATTTTAACTATAAAATTAAATACCCAACCATCAAATTAACTTAAGAACTTGAAACAATAGTGACAAAACTATTATAAATGTTCATTATTACGCACCATTCACGACCATCACCACCGAGTCATTAGACTCTTCAGTCTATCTTCGCTATCGAAACCTGCTTCAAAAGTTTAGCCAACATAACAAACGGAACAATTCCTTTTCCTGCAACTCGCTTCCTTTTCCTTCTCTGGTGTTGACGAGCAACTACTAAACAGCTGGCGATTTGAGTGAAACGGATTTCCACAGGGAAACTCTCGTGGTTCATCTAAACACTTTGCTGATGATTTGAGTGATCCCCTTTCACCGGTGTCACTCTCGGCAACTGAAATTTACACCTGGGTTTGTTAATGGGTCCATTAGAGACTCGGTAGCATTTCTAGATCAGACACGAAAGGTGAAATATCTTATCAATGAAGACTTGTAGATTATTGTCTTTCTGATTGATCAAGAAAGTAGACATTTTCGGTGCAGATGGTACCAGCTGGACATTTGTCAATGAAGAAATTGACAACCAAGGAGCAAACTGGAAAACTCTGGAGGTGGAAGAGAAATCATCACCAATGGCTACTTCAATTCAGATGGAAGTAGCAGAAGCCATGGAAACTATCAGAATGGATCAAACACAGCGATGAAACGATCATGAGATCAAAGCGTCATGCACTGACCCTGATTGACCGAATATGATAAAAGCTTATATCGGCCAGTATTTTTGTTCTGTGTATGCATCTTGACTAGCAAACTTGATCTGCATGGCTCACCGGCAAAAATAAATGCAGGTCTCGCTGACAAAGGGGTGAGGCAAAGACAGTGGGGAAATGGGTGGCCGAAATTAGACTCTTGCAGAACAGAATACGGGTGTGGGTAGGGACTTACGAAATAGCTGAAGCCGCCGCTTATGCGTACGATCGTGCTGCTTATAAGCTTAGAGGGGAATACGTGAGGTTGAATTTTCAAAACCTCAAGGATCCAAGTAAACTAGGTTCTGATGACGGTGCTCGGTTGAATGCGCTAAGAACTTAGTGGATTCTAAGATTCAGGCCATTTATGAAAAGCTGAAAAGAGAGAGAGCTAAAAAGAAATCTAAAAAGGTCTCCAATAGCCCTCCTACTGCTGCTGCTTCCTCCCCTGAAGTTAAGTGAACCGTGTTCGTCGTCTTCATCGTTATCGCCGGCGATTTTGAGTGACAGTTTAAGCAACGACTGACTGTCACCGAGTTTATCTAAAGATGGGTCTTGGAGATGTGAGAATTCGGCGTCCAAATGATTATCTGATAACGATGGTGAAAAAACAACAATACGATGAGTGTTGGCTTGCAAAGTGAAAATTTTCAGCAGATAAACACTAGGAGAGACTTCTTTTTCTTTCTATTTTATGTTTCAGTAGTGTGAAAATGGTAAATTTCGTTGTTGTGTATAGTGTTTTATGGTAGGAATAAAATTTTATCAACAAAACGACGTCGTTTTACCATGTCATCGTCGTCACGAAATAAAATTGACATGTTATCGTCCTGTTAACGGATTAACGGCGGAGTGAAAAAATTGCAATGAAACATAAACGTCTGTGTTAAAATTGGCAAAATTGAAACGTCAGTGATATTTTCGAGCCAGAGCTTAAAGGTGAGTGGTATTTAACATAGATTACCCTATATTTTAAAAACAATATCTATTTATATTACTTGTGTGAAAATATGTTTTGTTTATCGAATTTTTATAATTAATATGATGTATCTTTGTCCTATATAACAAGTTCAGTTAATAAATTAAAATATTTTAATTGAAAAACAAAAGATTACTTTTAGGTAAAACCTTCAACTTTGCCATTATTTCCCAAAGTTTCGATGGTCGCTCAGGATCATGTAAGGGCGTAGAAGCCCAAGAGACCCTGATCTAACGGGGTAGGCAATGGTGACCCCACACACTAGCGTCCCAATGGTTACTCGTAATAGAGCCTCGGCATCAATGGGATGGAGAACCTGCGAAGCTTCCCTTCATCCCAACATGGTTGTCCAAGGTGCATGAAATGAACTGGGTTACCAGGGCTATCACCGTAAGTCACCAAGAACGACACAACTTCAATCCCTCCCCACCGATGTATACATCACATAAAATCAATTGTTACGTGAGACTTGCACACATGTTCTCTTATTTATAAAAACGATTTTTTTTAACTAAATACATTTAATAAGACTACATAAATATGTATTCATGTTTTATGATAAATTAATATATTTATTAAAATATTTTAAAACTAAATAGACTGAATAACATAATATAAATATGCGTTCATATTTTATAATAGATCATGACATAATATCTATATTACGCTTTTGAATTCCGTAACATCACTATAAAAACGATCTTATTTTTCGTTGATTTATAAGTCATTTTCTATTGATCACATTATTTTTCTATAAACAATTGATGAAACTATGGCTTTGAAGCAAAGAAACATAGTTTATTAAGGGATATTTTCATGTATCCTTTTCTAAGTTGTACAGCCAGAAACTATGGCTCTCCCTATCATCAATGACGGGTTGTTATTTTCATATATAGAGAATTATAGTATTAGTTTTGAAGCTTGTTTCTGCCTTGGGAACATGTTCAGATACCACCACCACAAGACCTAGGGTCCAATCGGCTTATTATCAGCAGCACATCCTGCATGAGCGGAACATGTTGTAGGTTCGTTGCCGACGAAGACATTATCGGCCGCCGTTGGATCGCCGTTATGGCAAGGGCAAGGTAAACAACAAGGGAGACAATCACAGATCATTACTTCTCTCCGGGAGACCGAAACTAAACTGCCTGCACTTAAAAAAAATCATACACTTAAGATGAATTTATAATGCAAAGAAGATGAGGGTAATTAAGAGGACTAACTGGATGAAATAAGCAACACGACGACCCATAAACCAAAGTTGAACGAAGCATTCCCCATTGGTATATTATATGGTATTGAAGTCCAAGGCTGCTATGCTTTTATTTATGGAGTTGTAGAGAATAATTTTATGGTCATTGCAATCGGATATAATTCTGAACTATTATAATCTAATAATCATTAAATTAAGTTTTAGAAAATGGCGGCACTAAGGATTCCCCCTTCAATCCCAACCTCTGGCCTTTTTGGTTTGGTTTTTATGATGTCGTCACTCAGGTAAATGATTTATATTCT